CTTGGAACAATTCACTGTTCAACTAATAGGTAAAATGGAAATAATAGAATAGAAGCACCTGTTCCAGAATGACGTCATCCTCCTCACTACCGTTTTCGTCCTCCGATTGCCGTCTTCACCCACGTCCACCACGCCTGCTGTGGAGCCTGCTACCACTCATAATTAGGGTTACAAAATCCCTCAACAATTAGAATGAAAATGATAATAGGGTGAAAATCACATAGAAGAAGTATTGGAAAAAAAATAAACAAACTCCATACCCTCGTGCTCTCCGTCAATTGGAAGGTAAGCTCGATTTTTTCAATTTCACAACAAAATGAAATAAGCGAAAAGCCTGTGCTTACCTATGCTGTGTCGGGAGAAATCGTCTACGATCAATTCAGGTAGTCGCGGCTTCTCGTCGGGAGCAACGTCGCTGGCCTCTGTCGTCTCTCTCAAATCACAGCGAATTAGGGCTTTTCATCTCAAAAGAATGGAGCTGAGTGAAGGCTATCGGGAAGCCGTACAGAGGAAATCAATCTTGTACATAAGGGTAAGTTAGTATTTTGTCTGTTTATCTTCCCACTTAATCCATTGAAGTAAACATGAGATTCATTTATTAAAATTTCAACCACAAAAGTAAACAAGGGACTGATTGCTGAGGTGTAAAGTGGATAGGATAAAGTTGTCTTATCCCATCCTGCAAAGTAAACGATGCCTAAGGGTTTTGGTAGGTCATTAAATATTATAAGAATTTTTTATATACTTTTTTTGTGTTGTAGGTTTGAAGATAATATTATCTTTTATGGCCGTGTTGTTTGTTTTTTTTTCTTCATGTAGAGCTAATGTATTTATGTATTAATTGTACAGGCTATTGATCATGCCTATTCATTTCAAAAGTTTTTTTATTGCCATTTCCAACCCGGATGAACGAAAAATGGTAATGTATTGTAAAATTTATTTACAAGATTAACTTCAGGTGAAATTAATATTTAGGTCAAAATATGGACTTAATGAACTAATATTTTTTTTATTGTATTGTAGAGACTTCCATCTGCTGTTGTCGAAGAGTATATGGCTGTTGTACCTGTTGAGTGTAAGTTTAGTATGAGAGATGGTCGAACATATTGGGTGAGAATGGAAGGGGATGCTGAGGGGGTATTCTTTGATAATGGATGGTTCCAGTTTATGGCATTCGAGAATATTAAGAGTGGATATTATCTTTGGTTTGATCGTAATAGTCTTACAGATATTACGGTGACTGTGGTTGAGGAAAATGCAGTTGAGCGGCCTTTGCGATATCCTTTTACTTTGGAGATCAAGTAATCGTACATCGAACGTGCATATTTGGTAATAAAAGAATTACGGTTAATTTTTCATTTTACAGTTGCATTATCTTTTGAGTGAAATATATTACCCTTAGAATATGTTTTAAATGCAGCCCATTCCGATTGAATTTTGGCGTTCATATGTGGTTAATGAATTCGAGGATTTAAGTCGATGCCTGTTGATTTGAAGATGTCTCGTATGAAGTTCAAATTGTTGCTCGGCATGGCAAAGTGTTGATGCAGAAGATGCATGGTAGAGAGTTTGTTGATTTTACTGGAATTTTTGAAGGTTCAACATGTTCATTCATCACGTGTCCTAATTGTTGTGTTTGTTTTGAAATGTTTGTTCTGTGATTTGTAATTTTTAGCATTATTTACACAACTGTTTTTGAACTAAATATTCGTTGGTTGTTTAAAGTTGTGTGAAAGTGTTATATTATTGTTTTGGTGTGCAGAATTTTTAGTTGCTTAGTACACATAATGAATAATATCAGAATAATCACATTAGATAAAAGCATAGCGCTGAATATTATACAAAATTATATTCGAAACATTAGACAATAAAAGATGTAAAAAATAAAAAATAGGTGTAAATGAATTGGCAACTATTTCTGATGGGCTGGGTAATGAACAGGTTATAAATTGCACTGCATATGTATGAACACTTTATAATAAGCCACCATCATTACATTAATTTTGAGCAGCACAAAATAGTACAGTCAAGTTTCTCATGCAATGGTTATCCTTAATTACAATAGCCAATATGTCATAATATAAACATTAATATTTACTAAGTTTGAACCGGAATCCAAACTTAGCAAATATTAATAGCAAAGTTGATAAGCATTTCTAAAGAAAGTATGTACACAAAAGGTTGGCTGTCAACAAAACGGATGATGCACGAGAGCTTAAGTTGTTATCGGTGTCCCGAAACGTGGCTTCTACATAAAAGAAAGGGTATTTTAGAGGGCTGGCCTATGGATTCTTTTTTTTTTTTTTTTTTTT